GTCGCAACCACGGACGCAAGGTTGTGACTGTCAGGTGTAGAGTTTTCGATCTTTGTTCTTGATTATTTTTGATTACAGGCTTTGACTTGATTTCGTTAATATTTGCCTTTCTGAAGCATTGTTTTTATTTCTAGAAAATATGTTAATGTAAGTAGCCATCTCGTCTTGCTTGGAGATCAGTTTGGGTTTCGTATAGAAATAGAATGGAGCCTGATGGTGATTGAAAAGATAGAAACTGGATAGAGGTTGATGCGCAGGGAATTACTAGGCTGGAAGACTTTCTGCCACTTGGGTCAGCCTTAAACGAAAGCACTTAGAAGTAGAATGCGTGTGAGCCTGTAACTTGAGAAGGAGCATACTCCTTTTGGACTCTTCCCCAATCCGGTGGAAGAGTTTACTTACAGTCGGACTTTTATTAACACCTAACTGTGGAGAATGGAAATGCCAGGGATGAAACTTATTGCACTAGACTAGGAAGCTGAGCTCAGTCCTGCTCCTGCGACTGATTTTACAAGCATTCACTTCTGAAGCTTGAGATGAGTACGAGTGTAGCGTGCTGCTCACGATAAGCTAGACTAGTAGAGCTAATACGCCCTACCCTACTAGGCCCATAGATAAAAGTAGAACTAGGCCAGCTCTTTCGTTAACATATAGTTGTAATTACTTCGTCGAGATATTTTCTATGAATCATTGTCTTGTGTGAAGATTTCGCTCCTGTCCGGAATACGAACAGCACGAGAAACTTGCGACTTTTCGGGAATTCAATGGTGTCCGAATTCTGAACAGTACTAGAAAAGGAGTTGATAGATGGAAAGAAAAGTAAGGACTCTTCTTCAGGTGTAACTGTCGATGGGAAAACGACGAAGACGCACGGGCACAGGATCGACTGATGTTGATCGATCGAGCCCTGTCGATCGGAGAGACGACCATAACAAGAGAGACTGAGAGTGAGGCAGCCTCATCGAGCTTGGCTTGTCCTTTTGTCTGATTCTGAAACTGAATGCTACATCCGTAGAGCTGTAGAGTTTGTCTCCTCGTCAGGAGTGTACTGAGCGTGAGAGAGAGATGCCGAAGCTCGTCGTTGTAGTCCACGACTAGGAGACTCCTTATGACTAGAAGAACTAGATCTAGAAGTAGAAGCGATTGTTGTGCGCTCTTAACCCCGATAACTAAGGAAGAACATCTTTTACCAGAGGTTATTGGTTTGGTTATCACAAAAGCGCTATGCATCAGCCACAACACCGAGCCCCCAAGTCTCGTAGTACTAGTATATAGGTAAACCTTCTGGAGAAGTTTCGAATAAATAACAGAGGAGAGGAAAAGATAAGGACTTGCTCTACAACACGAAGGAACAACACAGAAGCAGCTAGTGTTACAACTACTACCACCACTACGACACAATGCCCGGCGTTGATAAGATCCAGAGCGATGCTTTGGAAGACTTGGGGAAGATGCGAGGAGTCAGCAGCGAGGGCCGCATCTTTGACTGGCCGACCAAGATCTTGCACTGTGTGATTTATGTGCTGCTCGGCGGACGCATCCCGGTATAATATAATATAACTCGATGCATCTTCTACTTGATTTATGTTCTATAATTTGCTCGACGGGAGAGCTTCGTTGTTCGCCATTCGCCATGGCGTGTAGTTTCTATTCATTCAACCGAATGTCTACTATTTCTGTGTCTCTCCCTCACCATCTTCATCTAAAATTAATCACGGGCTGATACTTGCAGGTTGAACGTTTGGCGGTCCCGTTGGATACTCGCATCAAATCCATGCTGATGCTGGTCAATCTGCGCCCGTCGCTTGTGCCCTTCTTACATTATGAGACACGTAGAAGCACAAATAATTTTAGAGTCTAGACCTAGAACTAGATGCACTACGACTACCATAGCATCAGAGTCAAGCTTGTTTTGAAATTGAATTGCGTCTACTGTTTTTGTTGAAGTTGAACTCATCCTCATTTGTTCCCGATCCCATCCCTGATCCCATCGGCCTCCCATAGCCTCCTGCCTCAAACCACCCTCCCTCGGCGATTCTTCTTCTTCCGGTGATTCCCTTCGCGCCATCTAATATCCGAGTTTGGACAAATGTGAGCAGGTGCGCGCATTCTGTTCGGCTTGTTTACTGGGATCCCCGAGTGTGGCTCTGCTGGAGAGCAGTTTTGATAAGGTATAGCAGTTGTCTCATTTTTGCTGACACTCTGAGACTATCACTTTGATTCTAGTCGTTGCTGCATCAAGTATGCATCAGTCTACTTCTATTGAGTTGTAGATTTCTTGTGTGTTGGAGTAAATCTAAAGAACCTAAATCTACTCCTGGTTTACGAGAAGCCTCCTACTTTACCCAATGGATTTCAGGTGTTGGCGGTTTTCTCCACCTTGGAAGTAGCCAGTGATGAGTTTTATCTGTGCAACGTCCAGAATGCTCAGAAACTTCTCGACCTGCCGAAATCTACCTTGGACTGGGTTTGCCTCGGTTGTGGTACTACTTTTTGATATAGAATAGATTCCATTAGTATGATTGTTTTGTATTAGCAATAGCAAGAATTTAGATGGAGTGGCGTCGTCCTGTCCGAGTTTCGGACAGCCTGGCATTCTAATCAGTAAAACTAGTTCTTATTTGAGTTTCTTCTTGTTCGTATCTCGGACAGGACGAGGAGAAAGGAATCTTATCAAAGTCAAACTCTCAAGATGGAGACTTTTACTTCCTCTGCTCTTCTTATCCTCAACAGAAGTCAAAATGCAATGCGACGCCGCTGTTCGCAGAGCCGAAACCGAAACGAAGCGCCGCAAGCAGGAGCAGCAGCTACGCCGTCTCAAGAAGAACGAGAAGAAGCGTGAGAAGAAGCGTGAGAAGAAGGATAAGAAGCGTGAGAAGAAGGAAAAGCTGAAGCGTGAGGTGGAGGACGAGTCGTCGGATTCTGATACCGATTCCGATGCTGGGTCGGGTTCTTCCTCGACCGACACGGAGGACGTACTACAATAGTGATGCTTTCATTTCATCTTAGTGCTAAACCATTAACCATACTGCAGTCTTAGTTGTGCAAATTATTTCTCTTGATCGAGTAGACGCACACGTAGAGTCCACTACGTAAAACTTTGCTGTTCCAAGTCGTGAAACTTGAGCATCCTCTTCCCAAATTTTCCTCGAAGTGGTCTTATATTCTTATCGCTATCTTCTTCTAACAGATTGTCCTGCGCAAGCGCATGAAGAAGCGTGGGCACCGTAAGCCGCATGGTATTCCCAGTGTCGATTTGGGCAACAAGGATAAAGCTGGCGCTTCCTCCTCGTCCGCCCGCAATCCGATGGTCACGCCGGCTCCCGCAAACGAAAAGAAGACTCCAGCGTAATGAAATTGAAGATGATTAGTATACTTATCTATCCTTAGCACGAAGATGGAGACTGACAGTGATGATGATAGTACGAGCACCATCTGTATAAATATATGAGCTGGTGATATTCTTTCCATCGAAATCTACAACAGGAGCAGCATCCTCCTCACATCAACAGACTAAGACATGCATCCATCAAATTTCTCCCATTCTCTTTCCAGCACTCCAGCCTCCACTAATGCGATGGAGCACTACCAACGTGGCCTCATGGTTGCTCAGGAGGAGGACAAGGAGTCTGAGCGCATTGAGAAGCTGAAGGAGGAGATCGAAAGTATGAAGTCCAGTCGCAGCGCAGCTCGCGCAAGCGAGTTCTACTCCGAACTGAAGGAACCGAAGATCTTCCACGGCAAGGAGGCGGAGGAGGATGAGGCACAGGCATCGGAGGAGAACAAGAAGGCGAAGACGATGATGAAGTCCATGGCGTCCGCGTCGATGAAGACTGTCCCGAACAAGATGAACAAGAAGGCCAAGGCCAAGAATGTTTCTCGTGGATCTGCTGCTGCCAGTACCCGTGCATCTACATCCTCCGGCACCGGCGTCAAGAAGAACATCCCGGTCATGAAGACCGTGATGAAGAAGGTGAAATGAAGGCTGAGGCAAGAGGATGGCGCAAGGGGTTCTAGTAATTGGTTATTTTTCAAATAGGTGGCTACTAGATCTTCGCGAGTTGGGACTGGGGGCGAAACCAGTTTGGGGCGGGACGTGGACAATTACTACGTGAGCTGTCCTTATCGGGTTTGCGAAATTATTTTGAAGGAAAGTGAGTGAGTAGATGTATTGCTCTTTCATATTTAGAAATTTGTTTTCTTCTGAAGTAGGATCGTCTATCAGGATTTTTCTGAACGCATAGCCTGACTTCTTCCGCGTCCATATGAGTAAGTAACTAGGAGAATCTTCAACGATGTTGTGTATGGCAGAGGACTCGAGGAAGCTGCTCAAGATTCCTTTGAAGCATTCTCTTTTTTCTAGATTAGCCATCGCGTGGCACTGGATTAGGAGGCTAATAATTAGGCGTGAGGAGCACTATACCGCTAGGGAACTTCTGAATCAGAATAGTTCTCAGTACAGAAGAGACCTTTGCTCATCCATTTCGGGAGTTGATTCGACTGCGTCCACTTCTGCACCATCATACATTTAGGAGCTGGCTAGGCGTTTTGTTTTTTACATTTTACAACAACCACGACGAAGTATTGAAAAATGAATTTTTACAAATTTATGTTTTGAATTTGATGAAGGAATATTTATTAAAAGAATAATGAATATTTCAGGAAATGGTAGGTGGTAGAAAACTTATTTTTCGATTGATTTTAGGACCTTCTTGTAACTGTCATCATGGACCACAATCCCGTTGACAGTTTTGTTATTTTCTCTTACAACATGGAATTACTATTTTTTTATAAAGCCTAGTATGAACTGGCGAAGGTGTTAGTACTAGATAGTTTTTAATTCATGACTTATGTGTATGTTGTTTCTAATCGTCATGTTATGTGATCTATTTCATGTTTAGACCTTCGTAGGAGAGGGAGCACCGTTCCCAAATGGAAGGCGCGCCCCTCTCCAAAAAAGCACTCCTAGCAATTTGAGATCGTAGATTCGTGAGGTGGTTCGAGTACCTACTTTATCTCGCTAATATAGGTTGTTTAACTGCGGGCGCAGCGGGCTGCTGCTTCCACTACTCCGCAACAAGTCGGCTTACTGGACTCAGCAAACAGCACCTGAGCTGGTGGAATGAGGTCAGCCTGCACAACTATTATGGGGAAAGGCGTGGTTCTTTTCGATTCGGTGTCAGGGGGAGGAAGAGACCAGGGCCTCACACTCTATACATTATATGAGACAGATTTGGAGGCTGTAGCTTAGGACGAGGGGGGCCGAGGTAGACCTGAGTTGTTTAGTTCCGCTGCAACCGATCAGAATCAGCTGCTAGCTGTGACAAAGAGGGCACCCTTACACTACCCCAGTCATGTGAGCTTTTTTGGGCCAAGTGGTAAGTACAGAAGACGTTTTTAGAGGAGGACTTTTATGGTGTCAAGATCGTTAACCTGATCCCTCCAGGACGGATGAGGCACTATAGTATAGTGCACTTCTCTTTTGATAGATGCGCACTACAAAACAGAAAAACGCACTTAGACGAGTCGCTCGCTTCTTATGGTAAGCTGACGGGCGACCTGCGGCAGTCGTGCGTCGGGGATTCCTGTTTCTGAACGAGGAGGGGCAGTCAGTGTCATCAGGCTTGACAATCAGTGGCGCCTTTGCTCTGTCGACGTCGGTGAGATACACGCTGCAACACACTCCACAGCGCATCTCTTATTGTGGAACTAGAACGTCCTCGGTATCGGCTAAGTCGGACAGTCGTTGTGTTTGTAATGATATCGGCGCATTTGGAGAGTCGGTGTGAGTTCCTCGTTTCCAAATATGACAGCAAACTCGGACACCCCCGCTCCCATTTCTCCCCACTGCAAAGTTGCTCCAAGTTCTTTGGCAATGGAATCACTATAGAAGCTAGTACTAGCATAAAGAGTGCGCTCTTGGGAAAATTTCTAATCCTATTTATGGCAGCTATTGCATCTTTACAAAGTGATATAGTCAGCTTTTCATCAACTGAAATCTAAGAACTTGTAAGCATTCCCATACGCACAAACGTCGCTGCTTTTCTCCTCCAGGATTAAAGTCATACATTCTTTTAGTTACATCAAAATCATGGGAAAAGTGAAGGAAAAAGAGCGGCTCTTGCCCGCTGAGGGTGATTCCCCTCGAGCGCCCCGACATGCTCGTCGACGTCGCATTGAGCCATCGCCTGGTGGGGACAGTGATGGATCTTCATCTGCATCCTCAGACTCAGAGGACGGCGGTTCATCGAACTCCTCGTCCGGATCTGATACGGATGACGATGCAACGGATCATGACAGCGCTTCTCTAAGTGCAAGCCCCGGTAAACTAGAGAACGACTCTGATTCTGGTGACGACAACTTGCCTGGAGATCCAGGCGACGGGAGAGACAAGCAGGACCTCGATGCGGAGACCATCTCCGCGAGCTTGTACAACAAGAGCTCAGCAGTAGAAATCAAGTACTCTCTAACAGACAGAGGATGGCGCATGGCAACTCCGCTGGCCTTGGGTGGAACCGAAATGACTCTGGACCCGAAAGTAGTCAAGTTCAAGGCGCGGGAGCGTTTGGAGAGCTGTGTCAAGAAAGCGAAGAAGAAGTTCGTCCATCACAACTGTTCAGTAACTGACTTCATCTCCGAGGTAATGCCCAGACGGGTGCAGCAATGGCGGCAAAAATCGAAGAAGCTCGGCCCTGAGTTGTATGAGGCGCGACTGGCTGTCACCGGGCAGTGGTTTGTGGAGCTTCTTTCATTCGCTGATCACAAGTTTATCTTCGAGGACGGCAAGGACTATTTGTTCGACGGTGTAGATGCCGAGATCAAGATGAAGGACATGTTCTTCGTGATCACTGGCGAGAAGCCCAGACCCAATGGTAGACTGATGAAGCGAATCAGGGATATGGCTGAAGATAATCCCGGAGCAGCAATAGCTGCAGGCGCTGTCTCATTTGGTCACTTCGGGATGTTGCGATCCATAGCGAAATCAGTCGACGCTGCACTGCACAAATTGGTTCTGGATCCGGAGAACGTGGCAGAAGGTGCAGCTTTATTGATTTGAACATTGTTCACTCCTCTCAATTCAAGAACCAGAGAAGGTCCAAGTGGACTCTTCCAGTGGACCCCTTTTTGAAGCAAAAAAAGGGGTCCAAAATGCACCCTTTTGAAAAAAGGGACGCGGATGGTGACGCGGATGGTAAGTGACCCATAAGAGTCTGCTCAAATGATGATCGATTTATCTTGCGACTTTAGGTACCTTTTTTGGTACCTTTTTTGTATCACTTTTCTATCATTTCGGAAGAGGTCAATTCTTGTTAATCATAAACCTTTGAAGAGCTTCTACTTCTATGTGATCAACGAGATTCTTAATGTTGCCTGCAGGTTGGGGCTGGAAGTACGACGAGACGCGCAAAGTTGGAGAAGAACAGAAGCTGAAGCGTGGTCTAAAGCCGGGCGATGCTCTAGATCGTGCAAAAGTACACGCAGCGTTTTTCAAGTTGGTTGCCCGATACCGCCAGCGAAAGGAACTTGACGTGAACCATATCGGTAGCGATTCTCTGGCTCTATCCCTGGACGGCATGACCAAGAAGTGCGCTCTGACAATCGCGCGTGGCCGGTTTTTACTGGACGACGCTCTGCATTTCGGACCCGGCGCTGCATGTGGCAACGACTCTTCTGGTTCTGGTGAGGATACGATTACCGTCGGTGATGCAGCGGATGTGCAGCATGGGAGTAACACTAGTGTCTTGCCTCTGGGTGACAGCTCTGACGTCCAACTTGGTGGGGCACAAGAACGTCATCAGTCTCATCAATCTTTCGTAGGACTTCCGGCTGTGGCAGAGGACGTTGAGATGGATTTCTGCGAAGAAGGCAGCAGCATGAAGAAGATGAAAACCGAAAAGGGTAAAGCGACGCGTAAACAACATGGAGCAGGCACGCGTGTGCATGATATCGAGGTTCTTGCTGCACAGCAGCCAGACAAGGAGGTAGCGAAGGAATTCAGTGGAAGACCAGGCAGCTATGGAATCAAACACATCATCGAGCAGTCTTGGCGCTTAGCAGCTCCACCCGGGAGTAGTTCGGAGAACACAACAAAGGTCGGAAGTAGAAGAGACCTAGCTGCGGCAGCGTCGAGTACTATTGCTGGCGCAGCACTACAAGACGATCGCCAGCGTCATGGCCTGCTGGGTTTGGACCGCTTGTTCAGTGGTTACCTACCAATTGTGAAGACTCGGATGTACGGCTTCGAGGATATCAGGAAGTGCCTTGATGGTACAGCTGGGCTTGCTCTGAAAGCCGGGGAGCGTTTGCAATATGGAGCAGCCAGCTTGAGCGTCGCAGCATACCTACGATGGCTGTCCCGATCGGCATTCGGTCCCATCAAGATGTTATGGATCACGGAAGACGCCTGTGCAGAGCAGAGGAAGTTCCCAGCTTTTCTCCAGTACGGCGAATGTCAACTGCTACCGCTGTATGGTGAGTGGGAAGGGTCTCCTTTTCGAAACCTACACTCGGACGACGCTGCTGTGCTGTACAAAAAGTGCGAGCATATTCTGCTTGGTAGACCGGGCTCCACTGTTGCCAGCGGGAGCGGATCATTATGAAGACAACTTTATAGCTATATTCCTCATTTTGTACTTTAGCAATTCTATAGAATCTCTTATCATATCTAATTATATGTCTATGCTGGTAATAGATATTCGGTAGCGTGACTCAGTGCAAGCCATTCTGCACCAAGTAGGTGAGTGCTGAATAGTGTGCCAAGGGCAAGACGGAGACTGCTTGGCTTCTCTGTGGTGTAACGAGATTTGAGCTTAGTTTAGAAATAGAAACAGTAATGGATGAGCTCCCCCTTGCTTTCATTTCGGAACTCGAAAACTGCTGTCTCGAAGACAAAAGCAAAAGCAAAACCACGATCGAAAAAGCAAGCGAATCTGGAAGCTGTTGCTAAAGAGGAAGCAGCAGCTGCAGCCACGGAGCCGGCCATCGTGCGGCAGAAGCGTCGGAACCGAACGATGTATACTGGTAGAGCTGTGGAAGCGTGCGACTTCCCCGATGCACACTTGATAATGGATTACCCACACTCCGACGCCTCAGTGATGGTGCACTGTCATGCCAACTGCCAGCCAGTGCGCAACCTCAAGATCATCCTCGCTCTGCATCGCTCGTGCGGAGGTAGGACCATCCATAAGATGTGCAGCATGCGTGATATGATCATTCTTCTAGCAGTGCGAGCAGGAGTGTACCCCGATGCAAGTGGCAAGCTGCAGCGCCGTATCAGGCAGGAGGATTTGCGGACTTGGAGTCACTTTCTAGCGGTTTTAGCGCCATACAGGGACTGGATCTTGGAGGAGGGAAACTTTCGCAGAACAACTCAATGGGATGAAACAAGATTCGTCATCTTCCAAATTCGAATCTGCCTTTCGGGATACTTCAGAATCGCGGGCGCCCGGTTTTGCTGCAGTGGTTTTACTGCAGGGCACATGACGAAGAAATGGGGGGCCGAAGGAGTGGTGATAGCAATGATTCATCACTTTGAGAATCCTAAGAAGTGTCGCTTAAAGCAAGCGGCTTTTGATGAGGCAGACGCGTTTGGGCATGAAGATGGTGACCTCTACTACAATCCTTCAGCACGGGCGGAAGCTTTCGCTGACACCCGCAAGATGTTGACGAACGGTATGGACGAAGGGGACGAAACTCATTGGTCGGATGTTGATACGGATTTTGATTCGGAGAAAGAAGAGGCTGAAGACGTGAAGGAGCTCGGCGACCTAAAACCGGGATCCCAGACGGCTATCGACAAGAAGCAGCAGAAAACAGTTAGTGATCGGGTTAGAAAAGAGAACTACGGCAATGCACTAGAAAGAGAACCTTCTGCGGATGGGAAGGGTGGCCTACTTGTCGCGGACGACGTTGCTGATGGGGATGAGGTAGAGAACAGCGAGCTGGTAGCTTGTAACGTCGACGAGCGAGAGCAAGTAGAAGATGATGACGCACAAGCCGACACGGGCGCAGGTAAGTCTTCGTCTTCCACTTCTTCGAAGAAGAATACCAAGAAGAAAGGCGTACAGGACTCCGCGGTGGAGCACAGCAGCAGCAATCCTTTTGTTTCGATCGGTGTAAACGCAGCTCGACCGAAAAAATCGGCGAAGGATAAGAAAGGCAAAGAAGAAGACGCAATAGCAGCGAAGAAGGAGGCTAAGAGGAAAGAGAAGCTCCGCCGTGATGCAACTGCGCTTGACATGTACCGCCATCAGACGCAGGGCGACATGGATGACACCACTTGGAATCGAATTCGCCAGGCCTACTCGTTCACGGTGTCCTGGGTTAACAGAGCGCGCGTCTTCTCATTCCATCTAACGGCTCAGAGCGCCCTCTACATCCACAGCATCGCGCTGTCGTTGCGGAACATCTTAGATCCTGATGGA